CGTGCTTGGCCAGCATCGCTTGACCCTTTCGTAGGACCATCCTCGCGAACAATTTTATTCAATTGGTTGTATTGACTACTTGACTACCATCCACACGCTCGTAAACAACAGCCTTCAAATGAAACAAAGCTGCCTTGCAAATCTATCCCACAGCCTCCATCACCAGAGACCTGGCAAATCAACATGTGTCCGCAAAAGGAACTTGCTGTGAGCCTTGACTGAAAAGTACACTAGTTGTTTTTTCCTCAACGCACATGAACACTCCCTTGCCATACTGCAAGCTGCTAGGAACTTTGGATCTATGGATGGAGACCTGTCATTGAAGCCAACAAGTTATTGAAACCGTCCAAATCAAAATCCCGGCTGTAAGTCATAATCACTACCGTACAGGCACCATCACGCAGGTCAAAACAGTCAGCTGGTCTACCCAAACAGGTTTCATGCATAAGCTCCCACGTCTGCGCTTCAGACTTGTATGCAATCCCTCCCGCTTGGAGCCAGCTCCCAAATCACAAAGGCTCATGGCTCACGCAGGCATGAACCTGACATGATCACAGGGGACTCTAACATCACTCCCACACAAATCAGCTCAGATAACCCATAAACCCATAAACAGAAAACAACAAGTTGCGGACTTGAAAGAAATTTGTCTCCAAGAAACGGACTTCATCAAGATTCAAAAACTCACCCACTTGCTCACTTGCAACCGCATGGTAGAACTCATAGGTCTGGCAAGTGTCATCATTCTCCCGGGCCTTGGCGTAGATAGCAGAAGAAGCCAATTTGAAGAAGCAATCCTGCGCCCACAACAACTTCGCAAGAAATACACAGTGCTTGTTGCTCAAAAGGCCAGCACTTTTACCTCCAAAACAAAAATGTACCCCAACCATTTGGTCCTGCAACGCCGACTGCTTCACAAGCTTCGATGCAAGGTGCTCCATGTAGATGTCACGAATAGCCTTGATCTTTGGAGCGCCCACGTAGCGGCGAGCAAAAGTCTTGGAACTCACCTCCTTGGTAGCCTCCTTGGCCTGTTCGGTATTGTCCTTCTCAGCGCTGTTGTTCTTCTCAGTCTCAGCCTTTGTCTTCCGTGCCCTTTTAGGCTTTCGTTCATCACATTCATTTTTCGAAGACGTTGTCTTGGAACCAGACTCAGCCTCAGCACCCTTGACTTTGGCGACCTTTGCCTCACGAATCGCCTTGGCTGCATCAGCTTTCACCTTCTTTGCCACAGCCTTAGCTTTGGCAACTTGCGACTTGGCTTTGGCCAATACCTTCTCGACCTTCGCCTTAGCCTTGGCTTTCGCCTTGGCTTTGGCTGCAGCCTTCGCTTTTGCTGCAGCTTGCTTTGGAGTGACGATTGGGTCCCACGACTCGTCTCCCTCCACATAGTCCCCCGGTTTGGTCTGCTCTGCGTCAGGCAAGTCAGCGCCTGTTTCGCCCCCCTTCTTCTTCATCCTGAAGTCAGAATTCAACTGCTCCCTGCGCAAAGTCAAAGGTGGCTCCTGCGAACAAGGGCAAAGGACACCTACTTACTTAGACCCAGGCCAACCCTTAGTTCAGCTTTCCCAGTGGGAAGTTGAAAGCTGAGAGTAAAACTTCAACAAATTGCAAACAGCTCTCCTTCATCTCCAAAAGCTTGGCCACATCTGGGTCTGCATTCTTCTTGGCAGCCATTGACTTGCCCAAAGAAGAGCTGTCCTCCTTGGGCTCCTCAACATGGTTGCCAGTAGTGCAGGCTTGAGAAGGCAGTGCTTCTGGGACGAGGAGGAAGAAGCTACCACATTCCCACTGTTCTGCTCCAAGGTCGCTGAGGCAGCAGGCACCACATCACATGGTTCAGCCTAGCTTGAAATGAATGGGATTCCGTGAAAAAACAAACTTGTTGACAAAAAGGTGGTTTGCATTTTGCATGCCATATGCTTTGGTGGTAAGTATCGCCCTAACAACTTTTCAATTGTGGTTTACCATCTGAGGAGCAGTGGACAGGCAGGGTGTCTCCTTTTTTTCTGACTTCATGGGCTCCTCGACTTCTTGAGAGTCATCGATCTCGATAGGTTCACCCAATCTAAATGGTACGGCCGCCGACTGGACCTCCTGCGTGTCCATCGGCAGGGTGTCCGAAGTGTCAAGGCAAATACCTTCAGACCGAGTTCATGTTCTTTTAAAACAACTACAGCAAAACAGAACCACACCAAACACAAACAGCAAAACTTACAGAAGTTTGGCACGATACTAGACTTTCCACGATGCATCTCACGCTGCGCCATCTTGAAACTGCAGGGGTGCTGTCAGGCTAGGCTTGTTTGGTTTTTACTACCGACCCTTGTTATGCAAGTAGCACTTAACAAACAATAAGCTGAGCTTCCAAAACCAGGCCTGACTTGCCGGATCTTGGATAGGATTTCCTGCCGGATCTGGTCCTTTGCCGGGTCATCACGAGGTGGAAGCTGAAGGTTCAGGTTTGGTAACTCACCAACATGCACAACCCCTGTGCCAAGGTGTGAATTGGTCTGACCAGGAGTCACGACAGCAGGAGTTGTCTTGGGATTCCCAACTGCCTCTGAAGAAACCGCACCAATACCAGCTGAAGAAGGATGGGATGAAGGCATTTCATCCTTTGGGGGTTCTTCAGTGGCATTCTCCTGAGAACGATGAGGATCAGGAGCATCGCCCTGAGAACCACCATGGGTCTGACGTGGGTGAGTCGCAATGGGCATGATAAAATCTTCAACGTAATCAGGCTCAAAGGCAGGTTCTGCTACGAGAGGCTTGTGACACAGATATGCAATCCTCAAGGACAGGTTCCTCTGGCACCTGTGTGCTAGCGTTCTCAAGAGGTTCATCCAGGTACTGACTGTCAGTGTACTCAACAGGTTCATCTGGCAACTGGCTGTCATTCTCGTGGCAGTCACCAGGAGGTTGATCTGGCAAAAACTGGGCGTCATAGTCCTCAATCGGATCATCTGGCTGGGTGTCAGGGTACTCGATGGGATCATCAGGGTACTGGCTGTCAACGATCAGGATGGGTTCATCTGGCAAATGATCATCTGGCAAACGCTGGCTGTCCACGACCCTTTCATCATCGACAGCATGACCACCTGAGCCATCATTGTCGTCCCCTGGGTCTGATAAACCATCTCCAACACCAGCGCCATTGACATTGGCATTTCCCCAGGCATCATCAAGCATTCCCCAGACTTGCTGAAGTTCACTAGCCTTGTTTTGTTTAAGGCCGCGAATGAGCATGACCCTCCCCCAAAAGCAAACAACAAAAACAAAAACATAGACAGACAGCCATGAATGAAAGCAAAGAGACTCGTGGAGCTCCTGCGCCGCTGAGCCAGCGTCGAAGCAAATGGCTGAACAACTTCTTTAGTCCCCATGCATCGACCGACTCGTGTCCACTCGATGCTCCCAGCCCAGAGATCTGGCGAAACTGCTGAACCTGTCAGGCAAGAAAGTGACAGCAAGTCAATGATGTTATCCAATGTTTTTGCTACAAATTAATACAGGTTTTCCATAATTATTTGCTGCATGGTTATTCCAACACTTGTCCTGGTTTCTGATCAAGTGAATGCCGAAGGTAGCTGGCAAAGCGCTTTGAGGAATCCACCACGCCGCCACTAGCTCCAAAGCCCTGCAGTTACAGACTAGGCTCTTGCAGCTCGGCACCCCTGTTTGGTTCTCCGGCCATTTAGTAATCCTTCCCTCTGCCCTGACAATGTTGCGGATCACAGGGTCATTCTCCAGCATCTCTGCCAAGTTGGTCATGTGTGCCAACAAACACCTAAAGTAAAAGCGGCAAAGCGGATTGAGCCTCAAAATACTACTATGGCCGGAGTGCAACATTTATTCAAGTGCTGCCACTGCTGCAATTGCCTCACAACGATGAACCACAAACATGTCAGCAGCACACATCCGATTGATGCCACACGCTCCCAGTTGGAGACCGACATAGCTGGTGAAGCCTTTATTGAGTAGAGGTAATTGATGTCACTTGGACACTTGGACGTAGAAACACTGACAATCTTCCCAACATTGATCTTGCCAACCGATTGTTTCATCTTGTAGAATCTTTCTCCATCTTAGATCTGCTTAGATCTTGATCCGGTTGCAAATACCAATAAAACTAGCCAAATAGCAAAAGCGCTCGCAAGCGAAAAAAGATACAATTTCTCTGAAAAAGCGCTTTTCCTTGAAACAGCAGAAAAAAGTAGCCCTTTGGAGTCAGCAGGTATATATATTCACCACAATGGGATTCACCCACATCACCCAGAACAAGGGATGTCTTTTAAGAGACAATTTAAAACTGGTAACGGGTTTTCTAGGACATTTTACAACCCATTCTTGAGCCATCCCTTTGGTGACCTCTAACACGTAATGACGTATGAGTCAGTATGAGTAACTGCCACCAATGTTCACCTCATGAGCATGATCAGTGCAGTGTTGTGGCAACCGCTGGCCAGGCAACAGCTGCTGCTATTATTGCTTTAGGACCTAGGAAGTTTGTGTCACCTGATTCATGTTTCCGGTGCGTCCCAGTTAACTCTCCGGCGAGTTTTCGTCCAAACCTCGAGCCCCTTCGAGGACCCTGGTAGGTTGACCTCCCTGGGATGTTTATTCTGTTCATTTTTGGTGGGAAAAACCAGGGTCCCCTAGTTTTAAAGTTTTGACCCAACCAGCCCCAGTACAAACACTGGCCTTCCTGGCCAGTCTCCACATGTGCCTGCCCCCCAGCTCCTCCGTCGACGCATGTCTACGCACAAAGTAGCTGAACCGGTGTGAAGACCATATTCCCCTACGGTTGGGTACAATTGGGTACAATACTCAGCCTCTAGATGCGTCCATGATTGGAAGAAGGGCCACAATCGTCCACCCAGTACACTCTCAGTATCCTGACCCCGTTCCCACCCACCCCAAAAAAACAATCCTTCCTTGCAGGAAGTGTTTTTTTCCCACAACCGACCACCGGTGACACGGCCAGGGTGAAACCCTGCCTCGAGTTGGCCAAGCGCAGTGCAGCAAGGACCTGCCAGAGTGATTTCAGAGCGTTGGCTGTGATGAAGCGACACCGTAGGGTGGGGTTTTCACTTATATAGGGGAGGTGACCCCAGCTCCACCTCTGCGGTCTATCCACCAAATTGACCCATTGGGACGCTCTGATCACATCCCCCGGGATATGGACTGGGATGCTCTCCTTCAGAAAAGCTGGTGCATGCGGTGGCATGGAATAAGATGAAATAAGGAAAGGAGACACCTGGGCTTGTACAAGGTGTATTCAGTCTCGCCTTGAGTCGTGACGTTTGTTTGTATGGTGTTCAGCCGCATGGCCTCGTGACCAACCGGCCACATGGCCCCCGGACCTTTTCAGGGCTCTGCCTTCAAGGCACCCGACAGGCACAGCATGTGACCAAAAACCACAGCAGGACTTCCAATCCACATGTGCACAGCAAAAGACACGAAAGGCAAGGCAGGGTGCCAAAAGGCACAGCTCTACTTTTGCACGTTTGAAGGCAGGTCTTGCAGCGCTGCGTGGCTTCCGCCCTAGTCCAGGTGTGTATATAGTTTTTTCGGTACGGCTGGCAAGGTCTGAGCAGCCCCTGGGCACAACACAACACTCAGCCTTCGTTTCGAAGGTGGGACTGGGGTGGATGCCAGGTCCAGTCATACCTTCGTTTCGTTTCGGTACGACTGGAGCCTTTCGGTACCCGGGTACGAAACCTGGAGCTCAATTGCGTCCGACCCCGAACGGGAGCACCCTGGAAATGCACTTTGAGTTGAACTGCTGGTTGGGATGCGAACGGGTGCACCATGTAGTATGATGCCACTAACTACTTCTAGGGACTCTAGTATATATGTAGTATGTGCAAATTATTCATGTAGGAGGAGAAGAAGGATCGGGTGCACCATGGGTGGGATGCTTGTGTGATCGAGGATCGAGCTGTGAGGAGGCGTTGAAAAGGGACCCATCAGAGCGCCATACAAGTAGCCCGAGGATGAAATGTGATATGTGTTTGAAGAAGATTAAAGACACAAGATTGAAAGTCTGGTAACTGAATATATGGTATACGGTAGTCTTACTCTTCAGGGTGTAGAGTTAAAAGTTAAAACACTAGGAGGCACGCAGCCCGCCACGCCTATAATGCCTTAGGGCTATACTACTTAGTCAACTGGATGTTGGAAGTGCTCGACCCCACAGTGATACTAACAAACGCATGTGTAAATTCATATATTATATATATATCACATGACCAGTATATAATGTATATATATAATCCTAGAACCCATTTGACCTCTGTTTTGATAGGAAAAGACAATCTCTTGGGTGGTTTGTGGTCCAAAATAGAGGTCATTAAGGTTCTAGGTATATACTGGTCCTGTGATTTTGTCCAGCCTCTTGAATGCCACAAAATGGCCTATCGCAAGGGGTCGGGGAGCTGTGGTCGAATGGTTTTATGTTCACCATAGGATAAGCCCCGGCAATCCGAGCTGTCATGGAGTCATGTGCCTCCTGAGCAGCTAGCTGCTCATGGACCCCAATTGCTCATGGCTACTTGATACACTGATACACCTCCTATAGACATGTCAAAGGCACCCCACAAAGACTTGGTCCACATGCGCTCCCCATGCACTCCACATACACATGCTACCAGACCATGCACTCCACATGGCTAATGCATGTCCTTTATTTTCCCCCAGACATGATCCTTGGATGTCATGATGTCCTGCGTGAGGGTGGTTGAACATTCAGTGGTTGAACCTGGGGGTGACTGACCCCCTGTTTTGGAGCCAAAAACATGGTCTTTTCCCATCAAAGCAAAGGTCAACAGAGTTCGTATTCCAATCATTTTTTGCATCTATTGCAGTCCCATCTGCTGACTGGTGCGACGAAAGCAGGGAATGAGGGTGGCTGGATCCAACAGAATCTCTATTGGGGGCTCAGCCACCCTTATTCCCTACGAGTCGCACCAGTCCCATCTGTCATGTCATGTCGCAAAAAAAAGGCCGCTTTGAACACCGTCTCCGAGACACGGCACCCAGCTTCAGCATGTCCATCTCACGGCGAAGCCGGCCTGGGAAGTGGCGTTGCGTTGCGGTTCCACCGGTTCGCCCGGTTGGCTCAGGTTTTTGCCGGATTTCTCGGGTGAAGTACTGTAGCGCCCACCGGAACCCCCCAAGTAAAACAAACTTGGCAGAACCATTACGCGAGGGATAGGGCCCCACTTGGGGTAGCGACTTCTAAGTCTACAGTGTGGTGGAATCGAATCAAATTGCATCTCAACATAATATGGTCGGAAGCTGATCAAGTGGTCTTTATTTGACTTTAAAGCTGTCCGTGAAGTGGCCGTGGTGTTCTAGGAAAGGCCTGGGCAATGACTGAACGACCCGCCAACATCTGCCTCTCCAACTTAATCACTGACAGATTTTGGCGGACAGCAGTGCAGCAAAGAAGTGCAGCTCGCAACACTGGTCTAGTGGATGATGAAATCATGTGGCCTTTTTGAAGAAGACTCTAGAAAAAAAGCAGTTGGCCTAACAATATAACCAGGGGTCTTCTAAACCAGTATATATAACCAGTTGGCCTAACCAGTATAACCAGTGGCAGTTGGTCTTCTAAACCCCAACATCTGCACAGCTATCTTCTGGCCAATCCAAACTGATTCAAAACCGATCGGGTGACCGACCCGTGTCCGGTCACGACCCATCCACCAATGGCGAAGAACAAATGGCTGAACATGGCTGAACCACCAACCAGAATCAATCTTTGGAGACAATTGGAGACCGCAAGTGAAGGTCGGAGACCACAGGTGAAGGTGTCTGCAAGGGAGGCTCCCTTCCATGCTAGCAAAACCAGTGACTGTAGAGGAAACTGATCGAAGCAAGGATCAAATGGTTCAACAAAACATAGCTCTGCAACTGGATTGTGGGTTTGCAAGGACACTGTCCGAAGACCATCCTCAAAAGAAAACTGCATTCTCAAGGTCTGTTATATCCTCCTCTTGTTTGGGGGGCCGTTGGCAAAAACACCAGCACGCCCACCGTTGCCTGTGTCATCTGCCATGGCCGCACACCATGGCTAGGGTACAAAGTCAGTCTTGAAAAGCAAAGGATTTGAAACAAGGATGGGATAGCTTGGAAGAACCTGTTGAAATAGCATTCCTTCACAAATTATTTGTGGAATGAGATGCAGTAAATTCAGGCTCCCACCAACTCTCATCACATCTCACTTGTCCGGCTTCATCAAATACTTGACCTTTGGGCATTGCCAGTACACATGACTCCACCCAGAGTCAGGCGGCTGATCATTCTGATTGCGCGATGTGATGGGCCATCCCACGATCTCTTAGTTGGCAAAAAGAGTAATTCCATGGTACAAGTAATTGCTAAGTTACTACAAAATATACCATGTCCTTCTATGATCTTCCATGTATTTAATATGACGATGTTCAGGAGCTTTAGTGTCCAAAGCAAAACCAGGAAAGCAAGGTCCACCGAGCTCTTTTTAGCGAGCAACAAAACCACCCAAGTGGATGCACATGGCTGCCAGGGTCAAAACAAGGGGTAGTCCAAGGTGACCACCGAAAATGAACAGGATAGATTGTGTCTAGCCATGACATCCAGGTTTCAGTGGATGATGATGGGGCCCAGGTTTGTCTAGGCCTTGTTCAAACAGTGATGTTCTTGTTTACAGGTCCTGTTACAGGTTTACTAGCAGAGACCTTTAAAGGGTAGACATATCTCGAAGAGGTCAACAGGGTTCTTGTTCAGACAGGTCCATGACACACAGCCACATGGGAAGAACCACATCCCAAACGCGAAGTCTGGACCCGAACCTATGGAGGTGTCGGACCCGGTCTTCCTCGGGTATTCGGGGTCTGGGGTTTCTCACCAATCCCGATCGCTTTGGTTTCGCACCGGTCGGGCGTCGTTCACGGAGCGGCAAACATGTTCCCTTGCAAAGCCGGACGAAATCGCAGTGAACATTGGGGTGATTTGAACATCATCATCTGAATCATCTGCCTCTATTATATAGAGGGAATCTCAGGCATATATATATATATATATGAGCTCTTTGAGGGATTTGTTCAGGCTCTCGATGATGCCAGATCCCAAATGGAGTAAAATGACTATGGGATCCAAACCCCCGAAACCCTAAAGTTTTCGTAGTTTGACCATGTGTCTAAGTAGTCTAGATAGGTCTCTTCTCTTCATTTCCGCTTATTCCACAGCTCCACTTCCTTCGTCCCAACGGCGCACCGCGCCCGCACCGCGCCCGCACCGCGCACCGCACCGCGCACCGCACAGCCCCCCCCCGGGCCGAGCGCCTGCGCCTTCTCCACCAGGACCTGGCGGAACTCGCTGGGCGCCTCGGCCTTCGCCGTGAGCCTCGCCGGGAGGAAGTGATCCCTTCGGGCGGTGAGCCCTTGCCCTGCTCGGCCACGAGGCCAAAAAGACCTCGGCCAAAAGCCTATATTACTATATTTATGTTATATAGATTGGTAAGGATTTGTGTATATACCCTACAAGTCCAAAGACCCAGTAAAACCTGGTCTTTTACATCCTTAAGTAGTGTTTTGTATGACCACGTCCAGTAAACTCAGGTCATTGACCTGTAGGGATAGCATTGCTATTGGTAAAAAGGGATGGTGAGTTGAAGGGCTGCATATGGTTGAATGGTGTTCTCATACCGTTTGTGCCATTGGCCCTAACCTCAACCCCTTGGTCTTGGATGTCAAGACGCTGCCTGGAAATCCAGGTGTTTGCACATGTTTGCACTGTGTCGTCCTCTGTTTCGCTCTTCTTTCATTTGCGCTTTGGCGGCTGATCAAATTGGAGCTGAACATGGGCCTGCTTCAAAAACACCATCCGAAGGCCCACCTCCTCCGCAGGAAAAGAAAAAAAAATATTGTCCTCTCGGTCTCTGTTCAAAAGGACTGTCCGGTGAGCAATCGACGCGTTTGGTTTGACAGTGCCCTGGACGCGTTTGATGAAATGGTACCTGAAACAACAACATACATCTTCGGACAAGGCAAAAAGTTCACCAGCTCATTCCAACATACATGTGTTGTTAGCTGCAAATGGTCACTCAAACTTGCCCTCCAATATGATCCTTTGCCTTTTTCTCAGCAGGAAAACCTGATGTCCACGCATCTATTTGGGGTAGACCTTTGAGTTGTAGGTAAAACATGGTGTCCAACCTGTCAACGCATGGCTACCCCACATCTTCCAAACGGTGCTTCCCGATGCTCCGTGATGGCGTCTGTGCGTCCGCACAGGCTGTTGCACATGTGCAGCAAGGCTCCTGTCGGGTTGAGCGTGTGATAGCGGGTTTGACGTGAATGTTCCACGAACATGGTCATTCTATGTTATGTAAATCTGGCTCCACTGTTCACTGGGTCATTTTCTACAGACTATAGCCGTCTTAACCAGAACAAACTTTAGACGCAGAAATTGGCATGCCAACATCATGCCAACCCATCATCCTTCATGTCTTTCCGCCTCTCGTCGCAACTCGCAACCGTAGACATTGGTAGACTGCTAGAACAAACAATACCTGGTACTCGAACATACCTTTGGCCAAATACATACGTTCAAAACTCACAATGTTGAAGATGGGAGGGTCTACACGAATTGGATGGTGCCACCATTAACCACCGATTCATCAAAAAATAAAATCCATCTACTGTAAATCCTCCTTTGCATCCACTGAATTGAGCAACAAGGTCTCAAGGTGAAGATTCACCCTTTTCTTCTGGCGTTATGGGTGCCTTTCATGATGGTTTTTCTCTGCTCTTCACATCTATGGCCTAGAAAATCTTGAGGTCCAATACTTGCGGGCTTAACACGTGGAAAGACATGGTCGAGCCAAGCACTGCTGAAACATCGAAAGTCGGGCACTCTGGAGACTGGAAAGTCGGATGTGAAGATGTGTCGCAGTAGCACTGCCAGGATAAAAGTAAGTACTGCGCACCCCAAGATATGACAATATGACAATATGATTCCTTGCTTTGAAACAGCGGACGCACTGTAGGAGAAGGTAGAGGCAGTCGAGGCTGTACAAAGATGCAAAGGGCAGGATAAGTCCTGACCTTATATACCCCCAAACATGAATTGGAAACTGTATCTGGAAACCGTTTCTATTTATTTGGGCACCACTATACACATGACCACTATACACATTGGCTCCAAGGCAAAGTATCTCCTACTGTGACAGGTCCGCGGCCGACGGCCGACGGCCTAAAGGCAAATCACCAGCTCTTCTGGAGAAGTTGTCGGCCACCCTCTCCAGAAGTAGAGTGTCCTGGCGGACAAAGCGACCGAAAACCGACCGGTGTGTGTCGTCAACCGACTGACTGCGTTCACCTTAAAATCAAACAATTAAGGGATATTCTGAGACTCTCCGAGTCATTCACACGGAAGTTGATGGCACCACCTGTTTGTAGAGAAAAATGGTCTTCCAGGGGCCTATTTTCCACTTTCAGTGTAATTCTGCAAAGCTCCTTGGGGGGTTCCAAGTGTCCAGAAGCAGCGAATCAGCCGTCAAAGTTCCCGATCAACAGATCAAGAATACGACGCTATTTACATACACGCACACCTGGTCACCAAATGTCCCATTTACAGCAGAGTTGCTGTACTCTCAGACGGTTGTTGCGCCGAACCAATGCTTTTTGCATATCCCAATCTATCCCCGGTCACCTATGCAATCGTCTGTACGTGCTCTTCAAAAAGTCTATCCACATATTTACTGTTTTCTTCGCTGTTGCATCGCAGTCGCAAATTTCCTTGTATCTATAATATACCTGGACCGTCCAAAGTACCTTAGAAAATGGGACATGACCCCATAAAAACAGGTACGACTGTACCCATTTTCCAAGGTACGAACTCAGACTCCAGGTATATACCCTAGCCTTCCAAGACCTGTAAAAGAAGAGAGCAGGACGCTGTGGGAGTGCACTTTTTCGTGACATTTTGCAACTTCTATTTGTTGGTCTTACTATCTTGCCACTGTACATCTTGACATCTACCTCACTCAATCGCTATCTATCCAAGCACTCACAATCAAAACTGCATGTAGACTTTTTCATGACTCTCATGACCTTTTCCATGGTGTCCCCTTCTGTAAAAGAGAGGTTGACCTGTCGTTGTAGTGTAAAAACAATAGTTGTCCGGTAAAATCCTTTATATAAACCAATGGTTGTTGGAAGCCTAGGGTACTTTGCCAAAACCTAACTGAGAAATCCTTCCGTGTCTTCTCTACCTCACTATCAAAAACATAGAAGCTTCTGTGTTCGGCCTTGAATATGGCCGGCAACCTTGCCACCGTGTTTTGTTCACAACTCCAGCTTCTCCCACCGGCTCCGTCCGGAAGGCCACTCTGGTTCAAGAGGACCAAAGCGCGCGCCAAGTGCGCCAACTCCAGGTGCCTCTTGTGGACCGGACGAGAACGGACGTCCACCGCACCAGACGCCCCGGCGCCGGGGGACCGGGCAAGTGAGGCCACCGGAGAGGCGCCAGTGCCACCGGAGAACTGGAGAACTGGTGAGGAATCAACCACCCAAAAACGGACTTGTTCACGTCATGCTTACCTAGGGGTCAGTCATGCTTAGCCCTGGGTAAGCCATCTCGGCACATATGGCAGTCCCAGACAGGTCGTGGTTGGGATCTTCAAACCCTTTCAACATGATTCCGGCCAAGAAAAAAGCCTCAGTGCCGGGCTTCGCCGGCGGCGCGCGATTCTGGATCGATGAATGTCTGATCGCCCGAAGTCTGTTTGTCTCAAATTTGGTAAGTGGTTGGAAGGGATTTTGCGACAAAATGCATCTTGAAATCATACTTCAGTAAAAAGCAAGCAAAAAAAACACATCAGAAGAGAAAGAAAGGAAAACAAAAAACACATGGGGTTCTATTTTGATAAGGAACCATCGCCAACAATGAGTTGTGGTCTTCTTCCAGGGGGTCTAGACCGGTGGTCTCCCTCTTTTGAGAAAAAGAACTACATGAACCCTCCAGGTCAACGGTACCTTCATTTCTATCACCAAACCTGCTGCCTTTTGGGAGGGC